AATAACTGCAATTCTTAGTCCAACAGTTGGATTATTTTCAGTTATTCAACACACATTCTCTTTGTTCAATCATTCATGATAATGAACAAATACAATGAATGCTCTTTTTAAATTAAAAAAAAATGCTTTGGCTTCAAATTTTTTTGTTTTATTAATCTGAAGAAAAGTCCCTCTAAGGTATACTCTGAGTGTTCTATTTTCAAGTACTCACAATTATTGACCACTTCTCTTGTTCAATATCTCTGAAAATCATCACTTAATCAAAAAGCTCTTCCATTCGTTCTGAGTCAAAAACCTAACTTTCTGTGGTAATGTATAAAAAAAAAATATCAAAGATAACTGTTTTAATATTTTACATTTTCTACAATCATAATTGATTGTTCTAGGTTGACATCACTCTCTTCAAATAGTAGTAGATTATTAACTAAGATGTAGCCACTATTTCTGAAGTACATGTCGTTAGCTTTGGTATATGCTTTTCTCCCTCTCCCCAATTATTTACAAGCATTAATGACTTTCACTATGTTAATATTTAGTGCTACCTGGGTAGCTTTTGTTCTTTTTCATACTAATGATTGGTTTTCAGCTAATACTTCTATTTTTTTTCACAGCAATATTTTCAATATTTATAAAATATTTTCATATAAAGTAACAATATCATAAGCTTTTTTGTGGAAATTGTCCAGCATTCACCACCATTAAGTAGGATTGATATTAAATAGTTGCTAAACATTCTTTTTTTGTTTCTAACAGAATTTTCCTGTTCTTAATACTTTGTTTAGCTTTTGGAAAGCAACTTGTGCTATTGCAATGCATCTTTAGATTTCATTGTCAGATTTTTTGTCATCTGTTATAATACTTCTCACATAGTTAAATTGTTGTATTTGTTTCATTTTGACAAATCCAATTCATAACTTGCATCATACACTATCTTCCTACAATTTTTTCCTTTTTTCCCACTTTTTTTATTAACTTGTCTAGGAGTTCCTGCCATTTTCTTTCTGTATTCCCTATCAACACAGTCATCTGCATACCTTATGTTGTTAAGACTGTGCCCACTGATAATAAATCCTGGTAGAACTTCTAGCTCTCTTAGCATTGCCTCACTATATAGATTAAATAAATCTAGTGAGAAGACACATCCTTGTCTTATGTATTTTTTCTATTTTTGTGTATTTACTAAATTCATTTTCTATACAAATGCAGAGGGAGTGCTCATAGTAAATATCCGGGATTATTCTATCATTTTCTAATAAATCAAGTAGATCATTGCACTGTACCTTACCAAATGGTTCTACATTGTTTATGCAATATAGGTTCACGTCCTTCTACATTTATATTGCTTGCATAGATATTCTGATCATATTGTATTTCTTGTTCCAGTGTCTTTAATAAAACCACACTGTTCTTGCCCTATTACTAGTTTAAATTTTCTATGTGCTCTATTCATCATAATTTAGATGATAAGCATAGTTATATGGCTTATCTGATTGCTCAATAGAACTCACACTTATTTGCACCTGGTTTCTTAGGCAGTAATACAAAAATGAATCTAATAAAGCCTTCCATTATGCTGCCACTGTTGTATATTTCAGATGAAGTGGAGACTTGAGGCAACAAAGATATGGTTCTACAGAAGAATGCAGAGCATCCCATGGGCAGAGCATGTGACAAAGAAATTTTAAGGAAAATGGAAACAGGAAAAATACTTATATTAGAATCAGAAAAAGATAGTTGAAATTTCTGGGACACATAATGAGGAAATAGGGTTTGGAGAATTTGGCACTCACAGGTCATACTGAAGGCAAAAGGGGCAGAGGGAAACAGTAATTTACCTAACAAACTTGTTTAAATGGATGACAAAAGAATAAATGGGAGAGATAGTAAAAAGACAGTCATTGCTAAGAGCTACAAAGGATAGAAAATTGTAAAGAGCCATAATCACTCATATCATGAAAAGACATGACACATGAAAGAATATTGTATCAGAAAAAGAAGGTTATGGTATCAGAGCATTTTTTTAATTTTATATTTAAAAAAACTTTATATTCTATATCATATGAGAATAGTAATAGAAACTCATAAGTATAATGTTACATTTAGAGCTGATTAATTTAGCCACTGGCAAAAATAAATTATTCATAAAAAGAGACCTACTTTCTGATCAGGTAAACTTTTGCTACTGTAAAAGTAGTTGATAAAGAATTAGCTTATGAGTAAACATTCAAACTCAAATTATCAGTTTTAAAATTATAGCCAACTTGCTATGAACTTTTAGTAGAGCATAGTTAGAAGCTCAATGTCTGCTTGAAACATATATTTTCTCATATGTCCAGTAATTTAATATTTCCTCTTATAAACAGACATTTACAAATATTAATTTCTTTTTTTTTTACTGACATATAACAATATTCTTTTTTGTTGATTAAATTCTTATAACATGGAGAATGAGTTCTGCTAGATAAATATTAAACTGATTAAACTACTTATTCCTGCTGATAAAACTATCTATGATTGCAAGAAAAAATTTAATAGCATTTTATACTAAAAATAAAATGAATGTTTAGTTGTACAAATTAAATTAAATATAAGAACATTTCTCTGAATAAAGATATGTATCAGGGGTAGAAGATCATTAGATTAGATCCAGTGCCTTCTCACTCCTTGGAGGAGTCCCTCTCTTATTGACTATGTCTTCAGTGGTGTAGCCGTACTCAGCAAGATTGGCCAATTCTGGGTTGGTGAGGCTATTTAATCCATAGTTGCATGATTTGAATTCAGAATTGTCCTTCTCTGAGACTGGTTGTCACCCAAGGCTATAGGATGCAATCTGTCCTGCTATTTACCCATAGCTGGAGGGGAAGAAGAGATGGATTTATACCTTTCCCAAGGGTATTTGCATGTAAGTGAATGTAACAAATTTAACTGGAATATGAATTTAGCTCTCTGATTCCTCAATCCGTGCCACTAACTATTATTCCACCATGCCTCCACTCTGCTCTGAATAAAAATTACCTTTGACATGGGTCTCAAACAATAATGTCACTTATTTTATCATGTATAATGCAAGAATGAAGTTATAAGTTCAATAATTTCATAAAATTTTCCATTCAGTCAGTGTTTTTCTCTAATTAATAGTTTTTAATCTTAGCAAAGGAGTTTGTTAATCTTTTTCTATGTACTGTGTCCCTTCAGGATATAGACAATCATAGCTCTCCACAGCTTTCTATCTCATATGGTTCTTAGCAGTTTTCTCACTTTTCTAAGACTCCCACCCCTGTAAGCTCATCAGGTAAGTAGCTTGCTGCCTTCCCTTATTTCTCTTGCCTTCAATATGCCCCGTGAGGGTTAAGTTTTCCATACCTTCATTCCTCATTATATATCCAAGGAATTTCAGTTGCCTCTTCCTTATTTTGAGTATAAGAGTTCTTTCTGTTGTCATTTTCAAGACTTCCTTGTTGTTTACTAGCTCAGTCCATGGAATTTTCAGTATCCTTCTGTAGAACCACATTTCTGCTGTTTCTAGTTTTTTCCACATCTTTTTAAATTAACTGATAAAGAGAAATTATCCAACATTCCCCACCATATAACAGGGAAGGATATCACATAGCAATGCAGCACTTTTTCTTTGCTTTTAACAAAATTTTTCCATTTCTTAACACCTTGTTTATCTTTTGGAATGCTTTTTTAAAGTGATTTACTTTTTATAGAAACTAATTCCTTAAACACCACCATAAAAAGAATATAGAAGCCTTAATTTTTTACTCTCATTCACTACTCAGCCTCTTTTTATTGTTTAAAAATATGGTATATTTTTTATATTGTATATCCACTAACTTGGTTTCCTGTAAAGCAGAACTAATTTTTAAAGCAGTAGAATTTAAAATTTCACTAAATGGTTTTTAAATTTGTAAACATTTTTTGTATTACCATCAACAGAAAAAAGCAGCTAATATTGGAAAAGAAAATATTCTTTATATGTCATATATAGCTGTCAAATTGGTTGTTTCATAAAGATTTAAAGAGAAAATATATATTTAGGAGAATTTGTTGTTATATTATTTTTGCAGAAGTCTTTTAGAAATGTTTTTGAATCTGACATGATTTTCCCATGTTCCCTCCAAATAGAATTTCTGATAATTGTAAGTTAGATGATTTTTAAAGAATTTTTTTTGTGGGTACTGGCAATTTTATCAGAGGCTAAGAAATATTAATTGCCCAACAATTAAGTTTATTTATATTCAAATAAATCAACTATATCAAATTTAGAATTTTTGTGAAAAAAGTATTTTATCAAATGAAAAAAGTAACCACAGAAAGTATTTATAAAATCATAATTCTGTATTTTAAGTTTATCACTCACACACACACAAATTGTTTACAACATGAATTTTTGATATTTTCATACATTTGGTACAAAAATATGACTACTGCAATAGTTTAAAAAAAAAAAAGAAAAGAAATAAAATAAAATTCATATAGATAGTAAATGTCTTTATCTAAAGAATTAATGAATTTCTTTTTAATGGCATTTTTGTTACTTAAAGTGTTATTATAGTGGATATTTTGTATATGAAATAGACACCCTATAAATACTGTATGTCTGTATATGTGTATAAAATATCAGGGGTGCTGAAAAGTTATTGGCCTGCCTGGTTTCCCCAAATCTGACCAAACAGATGTTTTTTTTAAAAGGCATCTTTTTTTACCTCTTTGTATAGGATCAGTTTAAGATAGATTTAAATTTAGTAGAAAAAATTGAGCTAAAACAATTTACACAAATTCTTGTGAATAAAGTGATTGGCTTAAAATATTCTTGAAATTCATTTATTTTTCTTTTCTTTTCTTTTTTTAAATTTGGGAGATTTCAACACTTCACTTAACATTTAAAGTTTGGTGTGAATTTTTGAGGTGATATTTACCTGAAAATGTGTTTTATTTAAAATAGTCTTTATACAACTTTAAAATAGTCTAACATTTCAAAATAGAACAATACTCACCACATAACTGAAGCACTGCTGCATCTCTCTTGGTATCTGTACCCATTGCCTGAGATTTTAACCGCTTATAAGCGGCACTGGTCTGTGAAGAATACAAGATAAAAATATCATATTAAGACTGATTGGAAGACATTATCATGAAGGCGCATCTTAAGAATCAGAGTAATAAAGCAGAAACAAAGAAAAACAAAATCTTCAGTTATGCTTTTGAAGACCATTTAAAGTGAATTTAATTTTATATTAATAAAGCAGGGATAATAAAAGTTTGAAATTTTCTTGTAGCACAACATATGTTATTGTCACTAATGATTAGAAATTTCACTTAATTCATTGAATCATTAAGAAATATATGTCAGCCATTTAATATTGATGACATAGTTGAAATTATAGCCAATTATTCCTCAATAAGTGATTACTTGAATCTTACCGAGGAATTTACTAAAAATTACCACTGACTGAATTTAAAATGGCTTTTAAAAATTATCTTTGTATTTATTAAAACATTAGTAAAATATCAAGGTATTAACTGAACATTAAACAGAAATATGAATTGTTTATAAAAGTAAGAGTATTAAAAATGATGTATTATTGTAAATGAAAGTGTTTAGATTAAATATAGGATAATTTTAATGCTTTATATGAAGCATAACAGAAAACTCTGAAATTCAACTTTTATGTAAATTGCAGAGTTACATCTCAACTGATTATTTTCTGTATGTTTTTAATAAAGTGAACAAAATGACAAAACTTGAATGTAATCATTCAAAATAATGTATTATAAAAAGTTTTTGCTTTAATGGCAAATAAAGAAATCGATAAATACCTATTATTTAGAAATTATACAAAGAGACAATTCTGATATAATTAAAGTACAATGTGTTTTTACAAAAGACTCAGCAATTGATTCAAAAGATGAACATGAAAAATTCTAGTTTTAAAAATGTCAAAATATTTTGTATGTTTTTGTGTAACTTTTCTTATGGATAATTCTGGCGAAATGGTATGTAATATTTGCTAACATTGAGACAAGTCCTTATTTATGGTGTACCCAGTGAGGACAAAACTTGCTAGCTATGTTTTAGAGACTACAGTACCAACTATCAATAGAGAACAGACAGTAGTAGTTCATACTAATAATATGATAATAACATAATGGTAATGGTAATATTAGTTGTTTCCCTACAAAGAAACATTTGGGATTCACTGACCAAGCAGCCAGTACTGTTTTCGGTTGTAATTTATAAAATCTTTCTCTTAAAACAATTTTTCAGAATATTAACTTTCTCAAGTCCAGTAGCTGTTATTGCTCTTTCCAGTGTTCATGTGGGTTTCCTTCCTAACCTTCTATTTGAAGTAGTGTGGAATGTCAGCATCTCAATTATCTCTTCAAGTTACATGTGCTATCCATTATAGTCATTGCTGCTGTTGATAGTCTTCAATTGATATGATTTGTGTCATTTGGTACAGTTCTTTGCATGTGATTTTTCTAGTGCCAGTCTAGAACATTCATAGGATTGTTTTTGCCAAGACCCTCAGGTTTCACTTGATCAAAGCCATTTTTAACCATTGATCTTTGAAAGTAGTCATATATAGTTGACAGTTCAGATATTCCTGAATAAGTTTGGCACAAAGCATGACATCCATATGAAAGTCTTGATCTGATAAGGCTAATTAAGAATATGATTCAAGTTTTCAGGTTGATGTTTTGGTTTTGTAGCCATGTAAAGATGCAATGTGTTCTATCTTCAATTTCCTTATCTCCTATAATAAATTTGTTATAACAGATCCATATGCCAAGCTATTTGAAGTGTTTGGTATTTAATAATTCCACATAAGAGATTCAGAGTATGTGGCATCACTGCTTTTATTCCAATTCCAGATCATAGTTTCTGTTTTGAAAAGTAGTCAAGAACTTTCCTCTTTGGTACCTACACTTTATGAATTTAAGCACAGTAGGAGATTGCTGACAAGGTCTCATCATTTTACAGTTGAAATGCCAGGATGTAACCACACATTCTATGCTAACAGTTTCTTTTCTCACTTATGGAACTTTCTTCCGGCTTCTTGTTTCCAGTCAACTTTGATCTTCAAAAATTTAATTTGTTCCTTTACTTTTCTCTCTTCTTAACAGTGTTTTTTTTTTTTTAACCTTGTATTCTCTAACACTCAGTAATCCCTTGTGTCTTAGAGGCTTTATTGCCTTGCTTGGGATGAAATGATTAAATAAATGTTAATAAAGAATCTATGTCACTATTATATGCTTCAAAAGATTGTTAGAATTATCAAAAGATTATAGAATTTATATACAAAGTGAGGATTTATTATGGAATTCAATGTTTTTACAATAACATTCATATTAAACAACCAATGTTGCTAAAATCCTCAAGATATACTTATATGAAAAATATACTACATGAATTTTGGTTTATAAAATCTGTTTATTAGTATTAAAAATATTTACAATAACTTATTTAGTGGTACTAAAGATACAAACACAAAAGAGAATCATATTCTAAAAATTTACCAAGTGTTGGGAACACAATAGTGGAAATTGCAAAAATAGGAAATTGAAGACATTGAAACAATAAGAACAAAAAAACAAACCAGCTGTAAGAATGTTGCAAAAAGAAATATAAAAAATTTAAAGGGCAAATAAGCAAAAAAGATGAATTGGCCAACAAGAATATATTTGAAGAAGCTAATGTTAAAAGTGTAAATAGAAGAAAAGATGCAAAATATTAAGAATATTGAGTGATGTCAAGAAAACAACCAAACTACCATCTTTAAGTAAACATTACAAAGAGAAATGTGTAAGTTTGACAAAAAAAAAGTATATGGATACTGATTGCTCACCAATAATTTTTAGTGTTGAATCCAGAGTACTATTGGATGAACCTTAATTGAAATAGTCAACCAACATGTTATCTTCTAATAACAACAGTGAGGTTGAATGATGTTTTGGGTCAATATTGTAGGCAGTTAAATATGTAAGTCACTTTGAAGTTGAGGATGGTATTAAGATAAATTCATAGAATTATTTTAATTTCTTGGACAAATGTTTTTTGAGTAGTACAAGTCACAAACAGGAAAGTTTAAACTAAAGAACATATCCACATTCTGAAATACTGACAATCTCTCACCTTGTCAAAAAGGTTTTAAAAAACTTCATTTATTTGGGAAAGATAATAACCCAAAACATAATGGGAGTAAGTTGCCTGTATACAGACTGAAAATGAATTCAGTAAATGCACAAAAATAAAAATGGGACATCAGATAAGGATGTTTCTCACCTAACTTATTCAACCTTTGCAGTAATGTGAGCCTGAAAGAATTAGAAGTCCTAACAGGATTCATTATTGGCAGATAACAGTGTTGATAGCAAGTATAGAAAAGAAGCTTCAAGAACTCCTACAAAATGTAGTAAAGGAAAACAAGAAAAAAACATTAAACATCAATTGTAAGATAAAATATATGGTGGTTAACAAAAGGAACAACTCAAGATACAAACTGCAAATTGGAGTTACCAAAATCAAGCAAGCACAAAAATTAAATATCTAGGCAGTGTTTTAACAGAGGATGGAGAATGCAATACCATTGGAATAGCAAAAGAAGCCTTCCAAAAGCTAAGCAATGTACTGTGAAACAGAAAAATTTTGTTAAAAATAAAGAAAAGTGCTGAACTTTCACGTAATATTGGTTATCCTATATGGCAGTAAGACTTGAAGCAACAGAAATTTGGTTCTACAGAAGAATGCTGAAAATAACAAGTACTGAACATGTGAGCAATGACAAAGTTTTAGGGAAAATAGAAACAAAAAGGATGCTTATACTTAGAATCAAAAATAGTGAGATGAAAATTCTAGGGTACATAATGAGTAAAGAGGGCTTGGAGAATTTGATAATTACAGGACTTACTGAAGAATATTGAGAGACGAAGAAAAGTATCAAATAACCAAGCTAAGAAGCTTCTGTAAATAGTTGACAGAATGGTGATTGAGAGAGATAGAGAAAAAAGAAAAACCTTACTAAGAGCTAGAAAGAAGGGGAAGTTGTGGAGAACTATGATCGCTGACATTCTGAAAGGGAATAAAAAAAGAATGAAATAGCAACTAGGCTCTCCAGATACTAGTCCAACAGAAAACTTGTGGTTTATAATTAAAAGGAATATATATGAAAAGGGAAAACAATTTCAAACACTGTGGGAAGCAATGAAAACTGCTGCAAGTAATGTAAAAGAGAATGCAGAAATGTTATGAAAATTTATGGTTGAAAGACTGATGAAGGTTATATACACTGTCATGGGTCCCATAGTAGTCTGTTAAAATAATAAAATGATAATTTATTCAGGCATATGGGATATTGTCTTAATCATATGTTTTTATAGCATACATTTTTTTTTATTTATTTGTTGGCATAACAAAACCTGACATCCAGAAAACAAGATGTAAATACTTTTAATAAGGATGCATATTATGAGCTGGAAATCATATTTGTATTTTCATGTTTGTTTAATGGTATATCAACTCCTTATGCTGAAATTTAATTTTGGGGGAGCTTTGAAGTAATAAAAATATGTTATTCTGCTTTCTCAATTGAATACATGGTAGATGATACTCAGCTTTCATGTATATACATGTTTGTGGGGACATGTCTACTAGAGGAGGTGATAGGTGTGTTTTATGTTGCAGTTTTGTTGAAGTTATATTTTGGAATTCATTGATTTCTTTAAGAAATTGTTGGATATTATATGGATTAATTTCATGAAAAGATTCTTTCATGTTTTTTGATTTTGTTCAGTGGCGTATCAACCTCTAGAGGTAATTTAATGCTGAAATTTAAATATTTTGACCACAATTTTATGGCTTAAATGTAATTGTATGCCTTCAACTACAGATAAAATGTATTGTTGGTCATTCTATAAAATTGTATTTTTATGCTTTCATAGTGTTTTGTTTTTGTTTTCACTATTTGCCCATAATTGGGACCATAACAAATGATTCTACCCCATATCACGATGGACCTGGGAACAACAATTAAGAGGTGGTGCCATTTTTCCTCAAAAACTCCAATCTCCTGATCAGA